TGAATTTCTTTGATGAGTAGTGATGTTGAGCATATTTTTGTATGTCTATTTGCCTTCTGTATGCCCTCTTTGGAGAAGTTTTCAGTTTATTGCTCTCTCTCTTTTCTTTTTGGCATCCTCATGGTGTGAATATTGGTATGCTTGAAGTTGTCCTAGAGGTTTTTTACACTATTTTCATTGTTTTGGTATTCTTTTTTCATTGTGCTGTTCTGATTGGGTGGTTTCTGATTCCTTATCTTCTATATCTCTACTTTGATTTTCTGCTTTATCTACTCCACTGTTTTTTTAAAGATTTTATTTATTTTTTAGAGGGGGGATGCAGGGAGAGAAACATTGGTGTGTGAGAGAAACATCAATTAGTTGCCTCTCATCTGCACCCCAACTAGGGACTGCGCTTGCAACCCAGGCATGTGCCCTGACCAGGAATTGAACTGGTGACCTCTTACTTTGCAGCACAATGCTCGTCCAGCTGGGCCATACTGGTCAGGGCTCTACTTTGTCATCTCAGCCAGTGCATTCTTCATTTTTGACTGTTTCTTTTTTATGTCTTCTATTTCCATTTTTGTGTTTCCTATTTCTTTGTTGAAGTTCTCATTAAGTTCACCTACTCTTCTCCTGAATTCATTAAGAATGGTTATAACCAGTGTTTTTTGAACCCTGCATCTAGTACATTGCTTGTCTTCATTTTGTTTAGTTCTTTTTCTAGAGTTTTGTTCTGTTTTTTTTGGGGGGTGGTGGTACATGTTTCTTTGTCTCCTCATTTTGGCAGCCTCCCTGTATTTGTTTCTATGTATTAGGTAGAGCTTCTAAAACTCTTAGGCTTGGCACTGTGGCTTTATGTAGCAAGTGTCCTACAGGGCCCAGTGGCACAGCCTCCTCAGTCACCCAAGCCAGGCATTCAAGGTGCACCCCCTGTGTGGGCTGTGTAAACCTCTCTGTTGTAGTTGAGCCTTGATTGTTGTTGGTACCTCAGTAGGAGGTATTTATTCCCAGGGCAATTGGTTGTGAGGGCTGGCTGTGACTATTATGGAGGATAATTTGTGCAGGGGCCCACTTCTTTGGCGCTCTGGTGCCTGCTGAATCCACCCCTTAAGTGTGTCTCTGTGAAAGAGGTTGGGTGGTACTTCTATGTGGCCTGAAGCTGTCCACCAGGTGGCTGGCTTTGGGGTCTCCCTGGAGATGCAAGCCAAGGTAATCTGTTACCTGTGCTTTGCATCGAGCCACCCAGCAATAGCTACAAAGTGATTTGCATATGACTGCCTCTGATGCTGGGCCCAGAGGTGCCCAGGAGAGGCCAAGTTATGAACTAAGGCCAGCTGCTGCTAGTGCCAGGCCTGGGGCCACTTACTGAGAATTATGGGACATGTTGAGGTTAGATGCCCTTATTTGAAAGATTTTAGGTATGTCTGAAGTATGAGCTAAGATAGGCTGCTGTATGGAAAAGCCACTGGAAATGGCTTGGAGTGGGTCCACAAGTTGGTGGGGAGAGATCTCAGAGAATCACCAGCATGGGGCAAATTGTATTAGCCAGGTTGATGGAACCTCAGACATGGTACCCGCCTGCTGGCTCTGTTCCAGAAAAGGAACAATGGCCTCTGATTACACTTCCACTTGGGAGAAAGCCTCCTCTCCAGTTCTTGCCCTAATGCTGGACAATTCAGTTCTTCCCTGTGTGTCCTAGTGCTGGAACTCAGAACAAGTGAATTGGAGTGAGTCCATGTGCAAGCTTGTAAGAGGAATTTTTGGGACTCCAGAAGGTATACAGCTCACTCAGCTATAATCTCTGCTGGTTTTATAGCCAGAAGTTATAGAAACTTCATTTCCCAGCACTTGATCTGGGGGATGGGGGCCCTGGTGTGGGCTGTGATGTTTCACTCCTTAGTGGGGGGCCTCTGCATCCAAGATATTACCCCTGATTTTTATCCAACACATGTGGGTGTAGGGCCAGTCCATTCTGTGTCTTGCCCCTCTTACCAGTCTCACTGTGGCTTCTTTTTAGCCTTAATTGTAGCACTTCTGTTCAGCTAGATTTCAGACTGTTCTGAATGATGGTTGTCCAGTAGTTTAGTAGAAATTTTGAGGTGTTTGTGGGAGGATTGAATACTGCATTTACCTATGCTGCCATCTTACTGGAAGGACTCGTTTGTACCATTTAAGTGTTGCACATGATGATAACATTGGTCTGTCTTGGAACTTTACTTTTTACAGTTGATTATCCAAATATGAAGAATGAAGGTATAATAATGCTATAATATTTATAAATTTGTTTACTTTTTGTAAATATAATTTTATATTTAACTACAAAATTGTTTGGTGTAAAAATAATATTCAACAACTTAATTGCAATTATATGGCTATTTAAAATGGTGATGTTGATCTGTATGAGTTTACATGGGAAGATGTCTATAATATATTGTTAAGTGAATAAAGAGCAGATTAGAAAACAGCAATTAATGTGTGATCTCATTTTAAAAAATAAATTCTACATGGTCATAGAAGAAAACTAGAAAAATAATAGTGAGAGTAATATATTCTTTATAATGAATGATTACAAAGGTCTAGGTATAGAATTAATTATTTTAATCCTCATATTCTCATAATTATTTTATTATTGTAATCCCCACAGTAACTCCATTAATTATTTTATTGTTAATCGTTATGTAATAATAATTATATAATTAATTAATTGCATATAAAGATATACTTAATTATATGTAAATATGTAATTAATTATATTTCTTGTCCCAGGCACTGTATTATTATAGAGATACAACTAAAAATCAGATAGACACAGTACCCAGTATTTTTTTAAAAAGTTATAGTTTACATTCACTATTACCAGTATTTTGTATCAGTTTCAGGTGTATACCATAGTGGTTAGGCAGCCCTATGGGGGGAAATACTTGGAAATGTATTCCTCCCAAAATTTCCAGTACTAACCTGTCACCATAGTTAGTAACCACAATCTTATTAACTATATTCCCCATGCTGTACTTTATATCCCTATGACTATTTGTTCTATTTTTTCAATTTTTTATTGTTGTTTTATTACAGTTGTCCCAATTTTCCCCCACTGCTCTCCCCTGCCCCCAGCCACTGCTCCCCCAGTCAGTCCCCACCCTGTTGCCCATGTTCATGGGTCATTTATACTTGTCCTTTAACTAGACTCTTTCTCTTCTTTCCTCCCCTTGTTTGTTTCATTCATTAGGTTCCTGTTATACGTGAGATTATATAGTATTTGTCTTTTGCCACCTGACTTATGTCACTTAGCATAATACTCTCCAGTTCCATCCATATATACAATGGAATATTACTTGGCCATTAAAAAGAATGAAATCTTACCATTTGCAATAGCATGGATGGACCTAGAAAGGGTATTATGGCTAAGTGAAATGTCAGTCAGAGAAAGACAAATAACATGATTTCATTTCTCTGTATAATCTAAAGAGCAATATAAATGAACATACAAAACAGAAACAGACCCATTGATACATATGAGACTGACGGTTCCCAGTGTTTTGTCATTATCCCAACTCTACAAATAAAAATGAGAGAGATTGCCCCAACATTATCAAACTTCTGCTACAATTTCTGGTTCAAGTAAACATATAGACTTACAAGGCTCCAATAGGCTACATTTATCAACAGTCTATTCAGATGGATGTAGCACAGGAACCAGTTTGTCAGAAGTCAGCATCAGGCCCCTCTTTCCTGTGGGAGTTTTTGCAGCTATTTGCACAATCTTCTAACAGCCATCATCTTTGGTCCCTCAGATGATGGCTCAGACCCAAGGGGTGAGATCCACACTGGGCAGGTATGGGAGCCATCCTGACATAAAAATGTCATTTCCCATGCAACAACTCCATAGGTACAGGGCCCAGGGACTCTGTAGGAATCACTACCACCATCACCACCATCAGGTACTGATAGTTCATTTTTCCCAGTCCAAAGGAAGTTTGCCAATCAGAGGTCATTTCAAACACAATTGATGCTGCCTAGAAACACAATTAATATTTAATTCCTATCAAATTACCAGGGAAACAGCACTAAAGAGTGAACAAAAGGTCAAATTCTTAAGAACAAGGAGAAATGGTTTTGTTAAGTAGCTTCACAATAAACAAGTGGGGGAATAGATTCAAACTTAAGTTTTCCTGACTCTAAAGCCTAGCTTCTGCAATTTCTTGGATGGTTAAAAATATAATTTCTTGGAGGAAAGCTTATAGACAATATTTACTTTCTTCTTTAAACTTCTTGAATTCTTAGATTTCCTTCTGTAATAAGCCTGAATTTCTTTATAATTAGAAAGGAATATTTTCATTAAAAAGACTAACAACATGAAAACATGCTTTTGCTATAGCATTAAGTGAAAGTAGCCAGAAAAAATGATATATAAAATGCATTGTGACTAGGATGATGTGAAAAGAAAGATGCAGATACGAAGAAGCCAAGGGCAAATATAATTGAGTCAGGATAGTTGACTTATGAAGGGCTTTTTTTCTGTTTTCCAGATTTTCTATGAAAGACTTACATTATTCTTAGAATAAAGTAAAATACAGTTCTTAAAATAGAAAAGGAAATATATTTAGCTTATAAAATATTTTCAAATGTAAAAACCCAGAAAACATCATCCTAAGGTAATAGATTTAGTTCTGTATTTCTTTGTATAGGTGAATATACTTTACATAAAATTCATGTTAGCAATTCAGAGTTCTCAAATTATCTCAAAACACACACATGGACATGAAAGATGGGAAGGTAGATTAGAAAGCAATTCTGTTCCATTCATGAAGGCCACCTATGCAGTTGTAAGCATTTTCCCAGGGCTACTGCTGTGTCTCTGTCCTGACATTACACTATATTAGTGTGTTATAGTAACTTCCCTAGGTTTGGGCTCACACGGTAGAGTGAAAATAGTATTACCCAACTCCTTTTATAGGTTACTTGCCTATATTTATTTTAGAATGTAGCTAATTAATATTTAACTTTCTTCCAAAACTCACATTTTGGGCTTTATATGATCCTTCTTTAGCCAAAGACTCATATAATCGGATAGCTGCTGTTATATTTTGCATGCCAAAATTTCCAAATAGCAAAGCATCAGCCATTTTCTCCATAGCTTTCATGTTTCCCATGTCAGCTGCTTTGGCAAAGAGTATGTAGGCTCTGTTTCAGGAATATAAAGTTAGAAGTTTGATCATCAAAAATGCAATTTTCTGTCCCCTCCTTCATGCTGCTTGTCTCTAGGACCCTGTTATGATTGTTCTTAACAATATAGTTTAGCTGAAGTCCATTACATCCCTAGATGAGTAGATGTTTTTACCCCTAGATTATTCTGTGATTATAATTGTACTATATCTGACAAATAGTGAAGCTGATAAAAAAGTAGAAATATAAGATACGTTATGTTTCAAGCTTATATACCAAGTGAAGTGAAAAATTGAGGCACTTATCCTAAAATAGCAAACTGCAAGTTTACTATGAATACTTATTTTATAAAATGAACTCTGAAATATATAACAATAAAAATCAATTAAAATAATAAAAAATGGTATGTCACATCAAGGATGTTACTAGTATGAGAACAACATCCCATTAATATTTTGAGGTAATTTTTAAAATGCAACATATTCTTCAGCAGATCAAAGCCTGGCTGTGTGAAAAAACAATAACTTAACAAAAACTGATAGTTATAAGGGCTCTAGAGTTTGACAGCCTAGGTTCAAATCCTGGCTCCATCACTTATAGTTTTGGGCAAGTTACTTACTTCCTTGTGCCTTTCTCATTTATGGAATGGGGGTATTAATAGTGCCTACTTCATAGGGTTGCTGGAAAGATTCAGTGAGATAATCCATACATAGTGTTTGGTACAGCAATGGTACAGAGAATGCACACAATACATTTAGCTACTACTACTACTACTGCGTAGGTTCTAAAATTTTATAGTATCATAATTTTTCTCTTATAATTAGTGGGTAGATGGTGTGAAAGCTCAGTGATTGCAAATATAGATGCCTTAGATTTGTCTTACATTGCATTTTCTGGGGGTTCAGAAGTCCTGGACCCATAATAGAAGTGATGGAGAGATGTGCAAGGTCAAAACTTGTGTCAGAGACACAGAGTAATTTTGGGACTGATTTTTACTACTATAACTTCCTTTTTGGTAGTGGTAAAATAAGAAAGCATTAACCTTTACCTGTGACCTTGACTCAAATATAGGAACAAACCCGTATCTACCATTGCTACCAACTCAGAAGGATTAGGTGACTCGGCTTTATACACCATCTTTCCAAGTGGATGCTAAAATAACCTGCTCTTGGTAAAAGACTGGAGCAGAATAGAATGGACAAAGAGAGATGGTACTCAGTAATATCTAGATAGGCATTAGGGTTCTGGATGGCAAAAAAACATTGTTAGAGCATGGTGGGATTCTGGGGGAACCGAAAGTGAATAAGATGGAAGGTCTCAAAGGTCAATGAATGCAAATGTCTGGCATCTAGGGATACATTTGACATCAGGATACAGACTCCTAAAGCCCTTTTGTCACATGGCTTTGCAACTGCATAGCCATATGAGATGCTCAGACTAGAAGGGCATCAACAGGACCATGGCAGACAAAACTTGGACTGAAGGAGCCAGCAGTAAAATATATCCATTCACTGGTCCTGGGGGCAGCAGTGGGTTGCAAAAGCAATCCTACTCTGTGTCTTTGATTCCAAGGGAAAGGTGGATATCTAGATCCCCTATCAGGAAAGTCAAGGTGATATAACGGATACTAGAAGCAAGACCCAAGGCTGGAGAAAGTTGGTAAATTAAGTTGGATTAAAATTGGCTACCATTTTCAAAGAAAAAAAAAAGGTAAAACTGGGAAGCAGGAACATATCCCAAAAAGAAAATTCAGAAAAACTTCTGCCAAGATGGAGGCATAGGTGGAAACACTATACCTTCTTGCACAACTGAGTTTAAAGACAACACAGTTTTAGTAACAAAAAATGCAGCCAAAACACAGAGAATTGAACTATAAGGAAGTCCAACAAGAATGAACCATTCAGCCAGACTGGTAAGAGGGGCAGAGCCAGCAGTGGAGCAGGGTCGGGCAGGAAAGATCCGCCAACCAACCCAGGCATGCAGGCAGCCGTGGGTGGATCCCAGGTGTGGGGTAGCAATGGGCGGGCCCAGTGAAGGCACAAGGCGGCTGGCTGACCGTGGTCACAGATTTGCACGCAGATAAATCAGTGGACAGACCACCCAGGCCCCAGTGGCAGGAAGCAGCAGAGGGGACCGCTATTGCCTCTCTTTGACCCCACCCCCACACACAGCGCCACAAACTGGCAACCTGGGTGGCCCCGCCCTGATGAACATCTAAGGCTCCACTCCTCCTATGTAACAGGTGCGAACAGGTCAAACACATGGCTCAACAAGAACTCAAAGCCCAGAGCTGATAAATCTAAGCGAACGAGAAATTGCCAACCTATCAGATACACGGTTCAAAAAACAGGTGATCAGGATACTGGTTGATTTTAGTCACAAATTAGAGGGACAAATGAAGGCTAAATTCATTGAAATGAAGGGAAATGCACAGGAAACCAATAGTGATGTAAAGGAAACTGGGACTAAAATCAAGGGAGTGGGCCAGAAGGAAGAAAAAACAACCAAAAAGAAAAATATGAAGAAACAAGAATTCAGAAAAATGAGGAGAGGCTTAGGAACCTCCAGGACATCTTTAAACGCTCCAACGTTCGAATTATAGGGGTACCAGAAGGAGAAGAGAAAGAGCAAGTGGAAAACATATTTGAACAAATAATAAAGCAGAACTTTCCCAAACTGGCAAAGGAAATAGACTTCCAGGAAATCCAGGAAGTACAGAGAGTTCCAAAGAAGGTGGGCCCAAGGAAGAACATACCAAGGCACATCATAATTACATTAGCCAAGATTAAAATGAAGGAGAGAATCCTAGAAGCAGCAAGAGATAAGGGGACAGTCACCTACAAAGGGGTTCCCGTCAGACTGTCAGTTGATTTCTCCAAAGACATCTTACAGGCAAGAAGAAGCTGGAAAGAGGTATTCCAAGTCAGGAAATGCAAGTACCTACATCCAAGATTGCTCTATCCAGCAAAGCTTTTATTTAGAATGGAAGGACAGATAAAGTGCCTCTCAGATAAGATCAAATTCAAGGAGTTCATCATCACCAAGCCCTTATTATATGAAATGTTAAAGGGACTTATCTAAGAAAAAGAAGATCAAAAAGACGAACAGTGAAAGGACAGCAAACTCACAGTTATTAACAACCACACCTAAAACAAAAAGCAAACTAAGAGGACAGCTATGCTAGATCAGGAGCAGAACCATAGAAATGGAGATCACATGGAGGGTTAGCAACAGGGGAGTGTGAGGAGGAGAAGGGAGGAGAAGGTACAGAGAATAAGCAGCACAGACAGTAGGTAGAAAATAGATAGGGGGGAGGGCAAGAATAGTAGGAGAAATATAGAATCTAAAGAACTTAAGACACGTGGTCATAAACTAAGGGGGGGAATGATGGGGGGTGTGCAGGGTGGAGGGGAATGAAGGGGGAAATAGAACAACTGTAATGGCATAATCAATAAAATATATTTAAAATAAAAAAAGTTCAGTTAGATATCTTGATTATCTCTGTAGGATTTGGTATTAGATACTCGGGTGGGTGCTGGGGAAGGGGGAGGCTAAATACCTCTCTAGAACACATCAGAAAATTGGTGTGGGGCAGCAGCATAGCTCCCAAACCTTCGTTGCTGATGGGGAGTAATTCTTAATGGTAGTTAACCCTGGTTGTCACTGAAGCTTCTTAACTCTTTCAGACAAGTTTGTATTTCCCTGACATGATTGCTTAACATCTGTCTCTACATCTAATAACACTGACTAATTCAGCGATTTTCCTCTCATTCATACGAAAAGGCTGAATGAATGAATGAGAGGACCAACTCCCTTCTTTCTTTTCTGACTTTGGCAGAATTACAAAGTCCTTTTGATGCTCCTTTTCCTCCTCTGTAATTTGGGGATAATAACCTGTTTAATAATATAATAGTAAGCAATGAATAATATCACACACATAAATGCCTAGAACATTAACTAGCACAGGACAGATGATTTTAAATGGCAATTGGTGATGTTGTTATAACCAGGTCCATAGTGGAGTGCCTGCCCCCATTCTCTATACTCTTATACTTGCTATGAATTTTAAGAAAGAATTCATGGACTCTGCTGTTGGCCTCTCCAGGGCTGGCTTCCTCCAGGGCCAATAGTTTGCTTAATTTGTCTGAAAACAAAAGATGCCTCCTTGGGAGTGCAGAGCCCAGCCTTTCTACCTTTGGTTTGAGACACACTTGCTTTCTTCTATCCCACATCTTCCACTTATGGGCTAGAGGACTAGAGATAAAAATAACAAATGCTCATTTCCTGGTTACTATGTGTCAGGCATTGTTCTAAGATCTCGACTATATTATTTAGGGCAATAGGAGGTTAAGTGACTTGCCCACAGTAAATGGTAGAGCTAGGATTTGATACAGAAGGTTTAACTAGAGACTCGAGGGGTGGCCTCATACTCTGCCCCTCTACTGAGGGGAGGAGATATTTCTGAACCCCTTGAAGACAAGTAGACAAGTGAAAAAATGGACACACAGCTTAGTCACTTCCCTGCTGGGTATTTGTGATCATCTCAATTTAACATCCTTGATTCCATGTTCTCAACTTTTTAATGGGGAAGAATGAAGGTCTTAACTCGTTAGTCTGTTTTGGTGATAAAATGGGATCATACATACATGAAAGTGCTTTAAAACCAGAAAGTGCTGAACAAATGCTTAGTTAGGCAGAATAGAGCATCTTAAAACAACTACTGTAATTTAAACAACACATGTTTATTATAATTTCATTTGGAATATCTAATAAAAAGCCAAAAGAGAACATTTTCACCTGAATGCTCAGGTAAGTGCCTTAATTCTGCATTTAACTTAATGTGGAGAAACCACAATCTCACATACAGTTCTATTTATTTAGGCTGATAATTTGTAGGATTCTTTAAATACCATTTGATCCTTTAAAAAAGAAAAGCTATGGGCAAATACACTTATTTGTTATTTCAATAAAATTTTAATGACAACCTACATTTTGGAGTGTTCTTTTTCTCAAGCTGGAAATTTAACTTGTTTTATGTACCTGGATAAAGACTTACTCTGCTTTTTGTTTTTGGCTTTTAGACTGCTGGAGAATCTTGATGCCCATCTTAAACAGCTGCTCGCCTTCACCTCTGAAATTTTTCTTTGCTTGCTTTCTTACTATATATGGACAAACAAGGAAAGTAACATTACTTTTGTGTTTTATATTTAAAAATAATGTGCTGGTATATTAGTTTGAGTTTTACATCCCTTATTTTTTAATCTTCATTTTAAGAAAATCACTTTACCTTTGGTCAGAAGGTGGAAACTGCTTACAAAAGCACCCTCTTCTTGTATTTTGTGAAAGGGTCTGGAGGGTGGAGAAGACAGAGATGCCTCTCATGGTAGAAGAGAAAAAGATATTCCAGTCTGGAAAAAGGATACAAAGTCCTGCAAGCTGAAGGCAGGAAGCAAGGGCTCCAAGAGAAGGGTTTGCCAGGTATACTCTAGAGGCTGGATCTTAGACCCCCAGCCTCTCAGCTCTCAGACTCCCTTATTTGAGCATGGGCTATAAATCTCAGGACTATAATATTTCAGGAGAACATGAGGAAGGAGACAGGCAATGGGCTTCTCCAAGATGACAGGTGTGCACCCAAGACTGGAGGTAGAAATTTTGCTCTGTTCAAGACCACCTTCTCCTCCCCTGGAAACTTCCTAAGATCTTTCTAGACTGTCTGAGAACTGCTGGGGATGAGCATCAGGAATAAAAAAGGGCAAAGTAAGTGTGTCACACCTAGAACCTTAGGGAAGACACAGAGAAAGAGTATCAATAATAACTCGCCTTGTGGAATGGGAGCTCAGAGTAAATTTTATAGGACTTAATAAAAATAAGGAAACAGAATTTTGCCTGCTACAGTCGTGGTATTTCTCAAATACTTATATAACACCTCACAATTTTCAAAACATTATCACCACTTTACAGAAGGGGAAATCTGGTTAGCATTATAGTCCTCCACCCCACTCCAACACACACACACTCTTCTGCAAACTCACAGTGCCTCTTGAAGTCTATTACAACACTCCATGAAACCTCTGATTAGATGAACCCCTTGTGAAGCCATTTTAAAGGAAAGGCATTCTGGGATTTGATGCCTCATTAACAAGACTGCAAAGAACTTTAAGTGCTTCTTATTTTTCTTCTACCTGATAATCTCTCAGAATTGTTCACTTTGTTATTCAATCAATCTACTAATACCAGGCATTTTAGCATCTAATTTCTGCTTTGAGTTATATGAGTGTTATTTATACTCATGCTTAAGGAGGAAAGATGATCAGAAAAAGTCTATTAATCTGTGTATGAAATAGGAATTGTTCCTATTACCATGCTTTCAAAGAGCAAGAATACATTTTGAAAGGTTTACTGCATGCATATATATATATATAAGAATAATGATTTACCACTACAGCTTTCTACCCATGGCTTCTACTTTTTATTTGTAACCCATGTTGTGCTGACCAAATATACTAAAATTTGAGTTTTCTTTACTATAAGAGGGCTCAATTATCAGATAAAGTTATCTGACAATACTTTAATTTTCTTTTTATTATTTCCAAATTTGGAAAAGGCAGTCAGGAAATGATTTGAGAGCACTCTGAACTTAATGTAAAGGACCTTCATGAGTCTGAAGTCCTCTGAATGGCCAACTAAGGACTCTGTTGTTCTATACTTATAGTGGCTGTAAGCAGACTGAAGTGTTGGGATAGACAGTAGGAATAAAAGAGGTCAGAGTAGGTGTGCCAGAGAATGATGTAAGACAGCAGCACATGTGAAATGTGCTCCAATTAGATGATTTTATATTTTAGTGTTTGTTGGAGACATAAGTTGTAGAGAGTAATTGACATTTTATTACTTCTGCAGTCTTATCACTATACCATATCTAACTTGGATACTATAACAGGCTCAATTGTGTCCCCCAAAATTTATTTGTTGAAGTTTCAATCCCCAGTAATTCAGAATATACCTTTACTTGGAAATAAGGTCTTTAAAGAAGTGATTACATTAGAATGAAGCCATTGGGGAAGGGCCCTAATTCAATATGACTGGTGTCCTTATGAGAGGAGGAAGAGACACCTTGGGCATGCAGGCACAGAGAAAAGACCATGTAAGAATGCAGTGAGAAGGTAGCTGTCTATAAGGCAAGGAAAGAAGCTATAGAATGAAACCAACTCTGCTAATCATAGACTTTTAGCCTTCAGAACTGTGAATAAAGAAATTTCTGCTGTTTAAGCTTCTCTCTTTGTGCTATTTTGTTATGGCATACCCAGCAAACTAACACAGATGCCAACTCCTCATCACATGGAAAACAAGATGCCCCTTCTCCCCATTAGAAGGAATGTATCCAAACCTCAACTTTCCATCATATCAGTGGCTACATTTTAAATGTAGGAGGGACTACAGTTTCCCATGGGCCCCTAAAGTCTCTAGGTGCTAGACATATGATTTTCCCAGGCAGCCAGATGCCCAAGTAGCTTACATCTGAGAAGGCTATTTTGTTTTTATGATTGTACTCTAAGTAAGCAATGTAGCAGATAGACTGCCCATGTATGCAGCAATCCCGGGACCCAATTCACCTCTCTATGGGATGATGGGAGAACTGGGAACCTATGCCTTCTCATGCTGACCCTTCAGCCATAAATTTCCCTTATCAAGTCTATGCCTTAATCCCTATCACTTGTCCTTGTGGAATTCATGCAGACTCTTGTTTATGATGACAAAAAGCAAATATTTGGAACAAAAGGGGTCTACTTTCTTGTTTCAGATGTTAATAAGAAAGAGGACAGCTGGAGACAACTTATTCTCTGTCTTTCATTCATTTAAATTTACATATTCATTTAGTTGGTATGAATTCAACACTTACCATGTGTTAGACACAGTGCTAGATATTGTATTCACACATATGATCGAGACACTGTCTCACCCTGGCAATGGAGATAGACATTACAATGCCATGTGGTAGACACTATGTAATAAGGCACTGTGGGAGTACAGGAGTGTTCTTTGTAAGTAGCACAAAACTAATCTGGTCAACATAAGCAAAAGGAACTTATTGAGGGGGTGTTGAAGGCTCATAGAATCAGTGGGGTTGGTCGGAAATCAAAAGCATCAATTCCTGGAAGCAGAAAGGCAGATGCTGGTGTGGGATGGACTAGAATCCAATCCCTTTAGGACTTTTTTTCCTCTCTGCTCTGGACTTCATGGAGGGCAAAGAACTAGAATCTTATGAATCTAGTTAGGGAAGACAAGGCTTCTTATTATATTCCTAACAATGTATCCACTAGGGAATACCTAATTCCTTAAAAGGAACTTGGGGTGGTGAGAAAAGTGAAATGGGTGATGGAAAGCTCCCAGTTAGCAAATGCCCACTTCAGGCATATTTCCTTGGCTAAGAGAAATAATCTTCACAGGTGAAGTGACATGTTAGAGAGTTCTTGAAAGGTAGGTAGGAGTTTGTCATACCAAGAAGATGAAACTGGCATTTTATTTGGAGGAAATAGTCTATGCAAATGAACCATGGATACGAAATTATGGGAGGCAGGTGTCAGTGTGGCTTGAATGAAGAATGAGGGCTTGAGTGACATGGTTCGTCAGGCATTGCAGGCTGGCTGTGGAAGGAAATCATACTGAAAGAGTCCTCAGAGGAGTAAAGAGGGAGTGAGAGGGGGGACTTGAGGTAATTGTGAAGGTGAAGGCAGGTTTGGTTGGAGAAAGAGAAAAGTGGCAGGAAGGGGACTTTGATCAGAGGTTATTTTGAAGTTTGAAATCATATTAGTGAAATACCTCTACATGTGGCTGGTAAAAGGCTGAGGAGAAATAGAGACAAAAATGACTGGAATTAAGGAGGTTTAGGAGATAAGACAAGGTCTTCAACATGGATATTTAACCCTTCAGGTACTGGTGGCTAATGGTCACTGACTAATGTGGGGGTAAAACAGCCCAAACCCCTTGCATATGGGCAGGAGCAATCCTTTAGGGCAATTCACTCTTCAAAGCTCTAAACTTCTGAAAGCCTATCTTTGCTTAGCTCTTCCCTCGCCTTATCCTTCATTCTGCACTTTTTCAGAGGTTGTACCACAAAATCTAAAACCTTTATATTTAAATAAATACCATCTAAATCATCTAGAAAAATAAAAGGAAATAGAATAATTTATTATTTTAAATCTCAAGTTACAATTAACATCCTGAACCACGTAAAGAATGACTGAGTGGACTTTCGGCCAAGATGGAGGCATAGGTAGACATACTGTGCCTCCTCGCACAACCAAAAGAAGGACAACAACAATTAAAGAAATAAAAAAACAACCAGAAACTGACAGAGAATTGAACTGTATGGAAGTCCAACAACCAAGAAGTTAAAGAAGACACATTCATCCAGTCTGGTAGGAGGGGCAGAGACAGGCAGCTTGGGTGGAGAGGACTCACAGCAAAGTGGTGGCTGGGGAACCCAGTGAGGTGGTGGATTGTGGAATGAGGCATGGAATGAAAGGCAGATGGTGGACCAGGCAGTCAAACATTTGTGCACAGATAAACCAGGTGAAACTGGGGAGTGAAACACCACTCAACCCAGAGTCCCAGTGGCGGGAAATCAAGCCTCAAATCATTGATTAAAAAGACCTGTGGGGCATTGTGGTGCCAGAAGAAACTCCCAGCCTCACAGGAGAGTTTGTTGGAGAGAACCACAGGGGCCCAGGATGTACACAACCCACCCCCCACAGGTCTCAGCATCAGAAGGGCCCAGTTTGCTTGTGGGAAGCGGCAGAGGGGACTGAAATCTGAGAGAAAGCAGAGCAAGTACCATTGTTCCCACTCTGACCTCTTCTCCACATACAGTGTCACAAACCAGTGACAGGGGTTGCCCCAACCTGGTGAACACCTAAGGCTCCACCCCTCATTACATAACAGGTGGGTCATGACAAAAAAAAATGGCCCAAACGAAGGAACAGATCAAAGCTCCAGAACAAATAAAACTAAGCAACAAAGAAGTAGCCAACCTATCAGATGCACAATTCAAAACACTGGTGATCAGGATGCTCACAGAACTGGTTGAATTTGGTCAAAAATTAGATGAAAAAATTAAGTCTATGCTAAGAGAAATAAAAGAAAATGTACAGGGAACCAATAG